GATTTCACAATCTTTGAGACTTCTTGCTTCAGTAGCCATTTCGGACTGCATCGATCAAAGTTGTATATTTAGTTAGCAGGGATTCATCTAATGTAACAAACTGTCCAAACTAACGGCGTAAAAGGATGCAGAAAATTTGCCTCGACTCATCGGTGTCAGTTTGACCTTTTGTGACGTTTCCTGTCTGCCGTAACAGATCAATGAATGTGTTGAAAACATCCATCTGTAACAGCAATAGATCAGATCAGTGACCTTATAGCAATGCAGGATAGAGCATTTATTTACTTTACATACCTTCACATTTTCCTCCCTTTCCTTAAACCTATCAATTAGTTTCGGGCAGGCCTGCACAAGAAGATACTCATTTCAAAATTTCTCAACAGTAAAAATTAATTTCTTCTTCTATCAACGCTAGTAAAAGATGGAACGATTAATCAAAAATATAGTCATCTTGATCACTATTAAAGAAATAACATACCTCTTGATATACTTTAGATATCATCTCAGAACGAGAAACTATCAATCCTGCTAAGCATTTCGCCGCTGCTCTCCTAACTTTCCAGCTGGCATCCTCATCATCCGTGTACTCATTTGCACTCTCGCTGTGACAAACAAAAACTTATGTCATTGTGATAATGGTGCACCGCAAGGGGCCAGGTTACGGTTCCAATGCTTATATCAGAACTTACTCATCTTCTTCATCTTCAAGAGTCTCATTATCAGTATCTTCCTCCATGTTGTCCGTAAAATTTGGGTCATAACTAATATATTCCAAAGTGAGATTTAAAATTTCATCACAATATGGTGAGATGTCCCTAGGACACCGTAGCAAGAAACTTTCAAGTGCCTGCAGTTAAATTTCAGAACGGACATGTTATCGCCTACAATTTTCATCAGTACGACAAGAGTAAAAAGCACGCCTTAGTAAAGGCCCGATAAAAGAATTAGATATTAAAAACAAACAAAAAAGTAGAAAATAGGGAATCTTGCATAAGACCTGTAAGCTATACTCGCGAAGCTCCTCATCATTTTCTGATGCGCTGGTGCAGTAATTGATCAATACTGGAACCGTGTTACCAAGATGAATCCCAAATCGGTATCCGACAGCACGACTGAAACAAAAAAACGTATTAAAAACTATCACACATGTAAGAGGTAAACCATGCATCCAACTAAATAAAAATAGGTAGGACAACCACAACTAACAGAAACATATTACAATACTACAGTAATACATAGTAAGAACTTAAAGACAAATACCACAACACAAAGAAGAATAGGAAGGAAGTACCTTAAAGCTCCAATCATTTGAATATTGGTGCGTGTAATCTCCGATTTCGCATTCTTGTTGCTTAGGTTTTTAACAACTTCAACTGTCGCCTTTGCGAGCAAATCATCAGACAGACTTGAAGCAAGAGATGCTGAAACCCGAAGAAAAAAAAACTTAAAAGAGGATATCTACCATCGAAGTAAGAGTTCTATATAAAACTGAAAAAAAAACGAATGGAGTTGAATACATCATCTGAACCCGCGTTGGTATCACAAGAATTGACACCAACAGCTGAGATTCATTTTCCTAAAGTTAATACTGGGCTGAGGAATGCTGTCACTAAAGCCCCGTGAGGTTAGAATCTGGTTTCAAACTAGCCAAAAATTGACAGGACGAGCCAGCAATCTTATTGACTCAAATTTGTTAACTTACCAGTGCATGTAACAGTTTTCTTCCTGACTGTGGCTTGGTTACAGCCCAATTGCAGTAACAATGTGTTCAGTAGCTTCTCGTGATCATCTGCCATTAGACTTCCATATTTTTGAACAACATCACACATGATCTCAAGACATTCACACTTAATTCCTGTGCTCATTCCCTTCAGCAACAAGCCAGCAGAAAATTAGTTACTTGCAAAACAAGAATTTAGTACCTTAGATCTCATAGGAAAGACAAATGATTATGCGCGTGTACTGTTCACTAGGAGTTATGCAGCAAGAATTATTAAACTGTAACAGCGCCAAGAAAATTTTAAATGTAAAATCAATTCAGTATTTCAGTTATGGTATATCAACCAATCAATCTAATCCGTAGCCTGATTTTGTCTTTGAACTGTAATTTTGCTAGCATCCTGAAGTTGTCTCAGGCACTAAGCACTGTGGCATATACAATTGAGAAAAAAGGACTAGACCTCCCAGAAACTAACCTGGCCACTTATCCCTCCTATCATTTGTGGAGTTAGAGTAACAAGAATAGATGGAGCAAGCGGAGGAGCAACTTGAGCAACAACAGTCCTGAGAGCTATGCTTGCGGTATCACGGTGTTGGTCTTTCCCATGCAGCAGTTTATCACATAATTTGTTGGTCATTTCCACAATACGATCTTCTCCGACCTTCTTCACCAGTGGAGCAAGACTAGAACAAAATAATACATCACGGGTCGAACATAATCAGCTAAGTTTAAAAATCTCAAGATAACCAAGGCTGCTGAGAGAAGAAAGCAAACCATTTAACAGCCAATCCCGAAACATCACCAGCAACATCATCGAGCTGTTGCAATATGATGCTCGACAATCTCATCTCCAAGTCCGGGTCGAGTTTAAAGGAATCTTTATTCAACTCATTGAGCAAATCAGAGGTTGCCATATATCTATAGTCTTTATCTTTACCCGTCATCTGAACATAATATACAAAAAAAAAACACAGGAATAAGAAAGGTGAATATAATCAAAAACAAAATTGAGCTTAATTCGAAAGAGAATATGAAAGACCTTTTCAATTATTCCAGAGAGTTGTAAGTTCGCCATCTTTGCTTGACCGTATCAGTTCACCACTTCCAACTGCAATTAAACGAAGATCTCAAATTTCTCTTCACAGTTGATAAAATAACTGTAGAGAAAGAGAATCAAGCACTCAATTGAACTAAAACGCTTAGTTAAAAAAAATCATATCAGCGGAGCAATGACACTCTAACAAGCTCTTGAATACTCTGGAACATAGTACGAAGAACAAAGGAGAAGTACCGAAACATGAACTAATTCTCACTCAGCGACAAAACCTAATCAATTTCTAAAAATACTTTTGATTAATCGAAGATCACAAAGAAGAAGTTCGGTTCGACAAATCACAAGGACCGTCACACCAAAACCCTAAGGGTACGAGTACGACTACGAAGACCAAAAGAGCTAATGCCAGACATCAACAGTCTTTTCGATGTCGCACAGAAAAAAATTATAGCAAAAGAGGAGTAAACCGTAACCTCAGAAGATGAAATCGGCGGGAGAGAACGTCGGAGACGGAAACAGAACGCCGAGAGGTTCCGATTCCTGGTGGTGAAGTTGCCGAGAGGATTTCTACGATTTCTAGACGAAAGTAAGAAAGATGGAAGAGACACCAAAATTTTCCGTTCTCTTGAAGCCTTGATTTTCGCCCTTATGAACAATGTTTCTTAATAGGCCGCCGTTGAATTAATTGGACCTGGGCTGCTATTTAATATAACGTAATAACAGTTGAAAATAGAGGGCTTGGCCCAATTGTTTTTTTCAATCTTATAACTGGTCTAGAGCAACCTAAATGCATAGGACCCTCTGGTCTGGAAACAGGCTTTCAAATTCCCACAAAAAAAAAAAAGAAAAAAAGAAACGACCATATGCTTCCTTTTATGATGATTTTAATTACGTAGAAAACTAATCAAACATTAAATAATAAGATTTAGACTAATTTTATAATTTATTTCCTTTGTGTCAATTTGTAAATTATTTTTTAGAAAAAAACTAGTTGAAGTCGACTATCTCATTTGATTGATTGGGTTTAGATTATGACTACTTTTTTAGGGAAATCGTGTTATTTACCTCTATCAATCATACTAACTTTATTATATAACATTTTAAAATAAACATTTGTAGAGGTGTCTGAACACAGATGCCAAATAGTAATTTTGTTTGTCAACAACACATAATTATTCATAAATCATAATTGAAGTTTACCGAATGTAAGTATTGGAAATAAGAAACTAAAATTTTACTACTACAATAGAAGTCATCAAAGTGAATATGTTACATTTAATATTCAATTAATGAAACATGTGGGTATATGTTAACCCCTTTTGATGCATGACGATTGACGTATACTTTAGATCCCATGACATGACACGGATTACAATATATGCCAAGAATTCTCATGTAAATAAATGATAATTCTCGTAATATTGTACGTTTAAGGAGTAGTATAGGAAAAAAGAAACGAAATATTTAATAAATGAGTTCACTTGTGACACCAACCAAGCATTTACTCAACCTAATACGTCACACATAATAGGACTTGACTTACACTCGTCAGGACAATCTTCAACTCTCCATTAATAGAAATAATAATTCATTGCTTCCTTTGTTTTCCGTGCAATGCATTTTTGATTATGAGATGAAATCATATATACAGCCTTTTCTTAAACTACACAAAGTAATGTATTCTTATAGGAAAACATAAAATCAAAACAAGACTGGCTCAGACATTTTGACAAACAACAAAAAAAATGGACTTAAATGTAGGTAAATCTTAGTAACTCTATTATGGACTTTAAGCTGATGATTTTCCTCTGAAACGGCCTTTAATAAACAGTGGAGTACTATACTTGGGTCAGAAATAATTAGTACTATCAATATTCAATTAAATCCCGAAAACAAAAAACAAAACACTTGATAATATCATCAACTAACAAATTTCATTGGAAAAAAAAAAGTTATGTCGGAATCGAGTTCAGTATTAAGAAAATATTAGTTTAAGAAGAGCTAGTATATGATCAGATCTTTAATACTCCTGTTGACCCAAAAAAAAATTCCGTCTTTCATTTGTTGGTCAAGTATTAATTCCGACTTTTACCCCTAAAACTAGAGATCTTAAATTCCGCAGATATCTATATCTATATGAGACAAACGATGATGAACTCCAAAGTCTAATGATTCCGAAAAATAATAATAACAATGAAAATCCCAATGCGTTGATCAGATCGCCAAGATAATACCCTAATAAAACATATGTTTGTAAAGTTGCGTAAACAAATGATTAACAACAAACAAAGGGTTAAATCATTAACCTCATGATATAAGATACTTAACTAAGTACTCACAAGAGATAATAGCAACAATCTTAACTTAAACTAAGGACTAGAAGCAAGATTTCCAGTAATGGCTTTATTGATGTCTTTATTACCAGCAGAGAGCTCGACATTGTTATTAACGTTGTTGCACTTCTTGGATAGGTTGTGTTTGTTGTTATGCATCCAAACTTTAAGAACTCTTCTCCTAACTCCAATCTCTTGACAAAACTGTTGAACAACAGATTCCTCTTGTCTCTGCATCTTCCAACCAACGCTCTCCGCAAAACTCAGCATCTTCTCCTTTTGCTCTTGAGTAAACTTTGTCCTAAACCTCTTCTTCTGATTCTGTCCACCGTAACAGTACGGTGGTGGAGGCGGTGGTTGCTGTCTGAATGTTAAGCTTCCTCCGCCGTCTTCTTCCATAAAATCTTCTGACTCTGAGTTAGATCCAGCTGCGGTTGCAACACCAATTGGCATTATCATTTGTTGTGGCAATGGTGATTTGATCATCTTGTGGTTGTTATGGAACATGAGTTTTCTCTGCAGTTGAGGCTGTTGGTTGTGGTGGTAAGGAGAAAAGAAGTTTTTTTCTTCGCCTTCGATTTCTCTTCTATGGAAGTTTCTATGGCATTTACAAGCTGAGCAAGTGAAGGCTTCGATGGAACCTTCTTCACCACTTGGCATAAACTCTCCACAACCATCAATAGCATTGCCTCCCATGGAAGCTGCATGATTCTTCAGACATTCCTTGTACTTGATCACCACAGGCTTCTCCTTCTTGTTGTTGTTGATCATGATGTTGTAGCCCACATGATGGTCATGAGTTTTGCCAAGTCCATTACCATTTGAGGGGGATATTAGTGGGTTTGATGGAGTAGAATTGGCAGGCTGATGATGAAGATGATGAATAATGTGTCCATGACCACCACAGCTATTACCATAAGTAGTGTTTATTGGTATAGGCATGTCATGATCTTCTTGAGTTGCAACTTCCATTCTTTTGATCTCTTTCTGCAGAAAATAATCACATTTAATTGATACTCTTAATTTGGGTTTTGCAAAGTGTTTCTTGGTTTGGGGACAAAGACACTAAAACAAAGAGTAAAGATAATTAATGAGTAAGATCGAATGATTAAGCTACAAAAAGGCAAGAGCTTTCTTCACTACTCATTAAACCAATTTTAAAATCATGTTCCAAAAAACAACACAAAAAAACCCTAATTTTGGAAGGTCCAGAAAGATAGAACAAACGAAAAATTACACCCAACAAAAATAAAAATAAAAACTTATAGCAAGCCTGCTCAAGCAAAAGCTGACAAACCCACTTGAGAAAAAAGGTGTAAGTTAAAGTGAGAGGTTGATGATGATAAATCAAGAATACATTTAACCCAACGACATATATAGATTATCAAAACACAAATGTTCACATATTAATTACCTTTTACTTTTTTTCTTTTTATCAAAAAAAAGAGCATAAATGTCTCTTTAATCAATAAAAAACAAATGTTTCTCTTATTAAATGACAATTGAGACAAGTTTTAGCAAAAGAAAAAAAAGAGACGAGTGAAAAAGAGAGACAGAAGAAAGAACACATACCCTTACAACAACAAAATCTAGCAGAGTACTTTCCCTTAATATATATGCTTCTGATGAAAATCAAAACTTTTCTTGAGGATAAACAGGAAGATGAATCTAAACCACAATGATCTGATAAATCTAGGGAGACTGATAAGTTTAGAGTTTTTAAGTATGGTTTTGTAAAAGTAACACTTTGAAGAAAGAAGATAAAGAGAGATAGAGAACTGCAGGTGGGTTTTGTATGTGAAGGCAGTGCTTAAACTAAGGGCTTAGAGTATTAGTAGTGAAAGCCTAAAGCCTAAAAGCCAAGAGAGAGAGACAGCAAGGGAGATGAAAACCACAGCTAATTTTTTCCTCTCTTTTTTCTACAGACAAAGAGAAAAAAAAACATCATTAATTACTTACATCACTTTTGAGAACCCAAATTTTTTAATAAAACTTACATCACTTTGACCTAGTTTTCATTCAAGTAAAGTGATGTTGAGAAACCAACAAAAACAAAAACAAAATTATTAATATATATTGAAAATAAATTGTCGTTGCTTTGTCTATTTTTTTGTTCTTTTTGCATTTTCACTAGTGAGCGTCGTATTACAATGTAAAAATATAGCAGTCACGTATATTTTAAAGTTAAAACTTAATACAATAACTGAAACAAAACAATACAAGTTTCAAATTCTATCAAAGAAAAATAATCAAGAGATGGGAGGAAACAATTGAGAATTAAAGACTATGGGAGATTGCTTGGCTTGCACTATCAAACATCAAATAGAGAATTAAAAGTGTAGAACAGTGTACGTAGAAACGTGTCAGTTAATTAGTGGGATGAGTATTTCACAATAAATTACAATATCTCATCTTGTTTTAAATTACATACAGAATATAATGGGACTAACTAGCTAGTTACAACGATAAGTGAAAGAAAAATAAATCATCATCTTTTTGTTTATTGAAATGGTGGAAATCTTATTGAAATGGCGCTAAAACGCTGTAAATCATTGTTCGAACCGTGTATAAATTGGTTAAAAATGAACAAGTAGAACTTCAAAGTGTGGTTAACAAAAAAACTAGTTTTAAGTATGCTGTTGATAAAAAATCTAAAAAAAAATAGTATCCTTAAGCAAATAAAATAATATTTAAACTAGTTTTCAAAAATTGCACACTTAATCAAACTCACATGACAATTCATATTTTGAAGCTAATTAATGGTTTTTAGCTTACGAAAACTCATTATAAAAAAAAATGAAGGCCTGAATTTGTTAAGCTAACAGCCTTTGGTCAATATATTTTGTTAAAATAGTTAAAAAGACATATTGTTCCCTTTACCCAAAATCACATCGATAATTATCTTCAAGCATTAAATACGTCACGTATGATAAGCTTCTAGAGGTTGTCATGTCATGCATGTGAATTTATAATCACTTGAAGTTACTATTAACTCTGGTCCTACAAAATATGTGATATCGTATATTATGATCTTCCCCTTTTCTGGAACATTATATTGTAAAGAAAAAAAAGAACATTCAATATAGGCTTTCGTAATTAACTCACTTTTAATTTCAAGAATCTACATATAGTTTTGTACCGAATTCATAATCTTTTACATTGAATATGTAGATTTCTCTTTGGTTCATAGGTATTCTTACATCAAAATGTTAATTATGTTGCTGTTATATTAGATAACCCGTATATTATAGAATCAATTTTTTCTTTTCTGCTATGCTGTTGGTTAAGTGACCCGTTTGTCGAAATCACGTTTTATATGGCAAATCAGACTCTCTTTTATGAATAATATATTGCTGTTTTTGATATTGATAATTTAACAAAAAAAATATATATGTATGGCTTTGATTGGGGACATGTAGTATTTTGCATAAGTTTGAATTATGGGTCTAATACATCAAAAATGTTATCAATCATAAATTAATTTGGATTTTTTTAGTTTGAGTTTAAGTTATAATTATGTATATAAGTGGAGATCGGCAAAGAGCACATTAGAAATTTAGAATAGCTATATTTACAAGTTAATCTTATTTTTGGGGGTGGCAGGATATGTAAATGATGGCGTATGCAAGGTGAATGATGTCATTGAAGAGTAAATACAAAGGGTATAATGACTTAATGAGAATTGTATTATGTGGCCTAAGAATAGTAAGTCTTAGTAAATGGAATTTCTTGCTTAACATTACAGACTTACTGTTCAGCGTTTAGCAATTCTAATCATAGTAAACCCACTTAGGAAACCGGTTTCATCCTTTTTACAATTCCTTAATACCAACCAAATGAAAATTCCAATACACAGATTTTACATCGATAATTTTTTCTCTGCTGCGTAAAGAGTAATGTTTTCAGATATAATCAGCCGTTATGATCGATATAATTGATTTCGTTGTTTAAAAAGGAAAAAAAAAATGTCTTTACTTCTTAATGAGTTTTTTTTTTTGTTAAGATTTTTTACGTTTTCGTATATAGTTTATGTTCCATAAAATTAATATGTTTAAGTTGGTGACCAGTGAGTAGTGACCATTCAATTCTTAAGAAATTGGTGCAGTTCACTTTCCTCTTTTACCATCTCATGTAAGCTTTTATGCTATGGAACAAATATGAAATTAAGATACTTTTATCTTCTTCTTCTTTTTTGTTTCCTTCTTGTTTCTTTTTGTCGTCTATTCTTCTGGTAAATTCCTTCCACTGTGGCAGCCTTTTTAATCTCTTTTAATTTTCTTTGTACCTTATTAAAATATCATCACAATCATGGTAAATTAGAATTATCAAACATGTATAATTTGTTTTTTGTCGTCCATATTATGAATTTATCCACACGTTAAGTGGCTTTTATTCGTAAGAAAAAATAAAATACAAAGGACCACAAGAATAAATGACGTTAGGTTTTGATGGTCCAGAAATTGGATCACAATTTTCAAGATGGTCGTGCCTTTCGTATTTACTCAACCTTTATGTATAAGGATAAGATATTTGTTTAATTCAATATGTTAAAAAAAAAAAACAGAATAAAGGGAGAAGATGGTGATGCTCAATAATTTAATATTCCTTCTACGATTCATTTTTATGATTTTCTCTTTATATAATATAGTATTTTTCTCTTTTACCATGAATATATGTGTGGTATCCCTATTTTTTTGTCGACATATGTGTGGTATCTAAGAATGATATGTTTAATGTGTACGGTGGACTCTTGCAAATTACTTTACTTTAAGTAACAATCAACACAAATTAAAAATAAGGAAACGGGAAACGGATTTTTAAAGTGACCACTGCGAGAAATTATAAATTATTTCTTTATGATGCCGACTTTCTTTTTATTAATCGTTATTACAACCTAACTTCAGTACTTAACTTTCTTAGCTTTAAGATTCCAATGATTTTCTGTTAGCAAACAAAAAAAAACAAAAAAAAGCACGGTCAGCCCTTGACACCAACATTGAAATTCTTGGCTCATTTTTCTGGAAAGATGATAACAACACCATTTATTTTTTTCTAAGTTAAAAGCATGTGATTATACCTCTAATGATCGTTCATCCATTCTCAAATTAATTAAAGATCATTTTCTGATTATTTAGTTAAGTGAAATTGGACATTTATATTTATATAATTGGCCAAACAACTACACAAAGACGTATTGATGCATATGTATATTTCATGGGTATAATCTACGACATGCCAGGGCAGATAAGTTATTCACGTTGTAGAATCATAGTTTTATATTCAACCGTTTTTTAATTTTAATAGCCAAAACTACAATCATCATATTAGCAATCAGATTATTTTTTAATCTTTCGTTCATTCCGATTTTTTATATCTCGTACAATTATATTATTCCGGTTGCAGTATTTACTTCATGAAATCTTAATTAAAAAGAACCATACTGATATAAAGTTATTATATAAAAACTGAGGAAGTATGGTGTATCAAGCAAAGAAGCAGCTGGTCTTTTTGGGGAAATGGATGAATGACAAAATCTGATGCATCGATCATTGTTCATCAATGTACAGTTCTGCAAAACATAGTGTATATATCAGTATTAGGTAAAGCCCATCATTATTCATTTTTTCGTAACAAAAAAATGGTCGTGTAGCAAGTATACATACGAATTTAATCGAAGAAGATAATATAGAATAGAAAAAAGTTTACAGTTAACATTTGTATCATAGATTTTGCCTGTGTTTTTGCTTTTGTGACACACGATCTCGATTCTCAATTATTCGTAGAAATTAGATCAATCTAAAACTTTAACCGTTAACGAGGCAAATAATGTTCATTAGACATTATATGTTTGATTACCTACTAATTTAAAGTATTTTATACCATTTGTAGGAGAATGAAAAGTGGATAATGTATTATGTAATTACTTTATTTAAATAGTAGAGAAGTCAAAAGGAGAGTGGAGGGACTTGGCTTTTAGCCTACTAATCTTTATTAGTATTGTTATTATGTTACCATTCCTTTTTAAACAAGGTTTAATGCATGTTATTAATAAATAAGAAAAACGTGGCGGTGAAGGAAAGGACTATGTCTTCGTATTCGTATGCAAAAAAATAATAAAAAAGTACGCAGTATCAAACGCAAATTGATTGAATGGACAAAAGTCTCGATCTTCCCAGTGTCGAAGAAAGGGTTTATACTTCCGTCTCATATGCCAGAAGGACAAGAAAAAACTTATACGCTATCAAACGTGAATTGGTTTTAAGAGCACTCCATCAATTTTTGGAACAAAAAATCAATATATTCCACATAATTGTAACACATGTCACCAAGAGATTTTAAATTTGTCAATAAATTAGTTAATATTTAAAAATAAAATATTTATCTATGTAAATCATGTTTACATGTATCATAGTTCCAATAAATTGAATTCCTCTATACGTACATTTATGCTTTAAAATAAGTTCACTTGTCTTTCGCTTTATTTCTATAAGTTCAAAAATGGGAAATTTTTAAAATTAAGACATATTTTCTTATTAAAATTTTAAATACAATTAATGTGTTTATTGGATGTGGATTATAATTACACAACAAGGTATGCTAATATTAGATGCGACCAATATAATTATATTTTATTAACTGTTTTATGTCACTTACCTAACTGCTATATATATAAATTAAGGAAATCAAATACATTTGCTTGTTGACAACAGAAAAAAATATAAATATGAAAGTTATTAAATGATTTTGAACTTTTGACTTTTACATATTTGGAAATTAACTAGCCTACGTTGAACTACTAATGTACCTTCTATGATATGCATATCCTATTGGTTATAAATAGATTCAACATTGACATGCAAATCGTCGAACAAAAAAAAAAGGAAGAAGAAAGTTAAAATAATAATAATAAAAAAACAGATGGCTAAATTCATTGCGGTCTTTCTCGTAGTCAATTTTTTATTTGCTACTCAATGTTTCCATGTAAATGTTAAAACAGTTATTTTCCTTCGTTTAATTTGTGAATATGGATGCATTTTATTTATTTGTTTTTCAATTTTTCTTACAGGCAGAGGAATTAGAAAGTCCATCACAGGCACCTGGATTGCAGGTGCATATGTTCATAAAACTAAAATAATTATAGAAAACAATATAAGTTATCTATATATATATATATATATATATATATATATTTGCACATTTTTCATTTTCTTGGATACAAACTTATGCACTACCCAAAACTTTGCAGGGAGGAGAGGGTTCACTTCATATTGAAGGTATATTATTGTTCAACAGTGACTTATCCCGTGATATACCAGTATATATCTCTGACTCCTCATTCATTAAATGATATATAATGTTTGTATACTTTTGCAAAGACTGTCCGAAGGCTTGTAATTACCGATGTTCAGCGACGTCTCACAAGAGTGCATGTTTGATGTACTGTAACCTATGTTGCGAGAAATGTTTGTGTGTACCTTCGGGGACGTATGGACACAAAGAAGAATGTCCTTGTTATAACAATTGGAAGACTCATGAAGGTGGACCAAAATGTCCTTGATAAACTAAACAAAAATATGAAGAAGGAAACAATTAGATGCAGGAATCCTTTTTTAATTTGTTTTATCTGAATTCTATGTATTCGTGTTTTTTTTTGTCAGAAATCAATGTATTCATATATTCTGATGATTTTCTATTTTTAATAAATATATTATAAATATAAATTATGTGGCACATATTGATTTGAGTAGAGGGGAAAAGCAACCAATTCTACAAAGTACATATACTATTCATTTTTTAACGGAGAAAACAATGTTTTGAAAAATTACATGATTTAATTGGAATAATTAGACAAAACGTTTTTTGAAGTTTTGCCACGCTACTTTACTAGTAAAAATTAAAGAAAAATAAATCTTAGTAAATTTCTATAGTTTTAAATGTTTTTAGTATGAACTATGTTTATGGGATCTTTATAAACTAACAGTGAAGGTAAATACTAGTGTATATATAATAAACATATTGCTTATTTTTATGAACAAATTAATGCTACTTTTTACAATTTTTCCTAAACTCGGGATATTTATAGAACCCGATTGTTTATTTTGAGTTACCTTATTAGCTTTGTCGAATCTTCACATTCTTAGCTTTCCTTCTGTTTAATTAAAATGAATTCTCCACCAGTTCTTATACTTATTATTTTCTTTCGAAATATCCGTTTGTTTTATCTGTTGTGACATTAAGATACTGGCGTTGACATGCGGCAATCAAAACATGTCGCATATTATCAAGTATCTATCGGTGGATCACGTAATTGATGTCACTTTTTAATGATTACAATAATAAATATCAACAAGCAATTTATTAAATCAGATAAATACTTGAAATCTGCTCATGCTATTCTCGTAATACTGAAGGTTGGCCGTGTGGGGATTTATGTAAGAGTTCGATTTTATTTTTAAAGCCATTTGTCAAAAAAAAAAAAAAAGAGTTCGAGGTTTTTTTAATGCAATTTCAATCATTTTTTAGTGCAATTTCAATCATAATTGGCCCATATAGAAGACTTAAAACATAAAAATATTTGATTTTTGTATACATATTTCAATGACGAATATTAGTTTGAATTTTGGTCTAAATTTATCTAGTAATATACAATACTTTCGTGACTTAGATAGAAAATGTAGAATTAATAAATGCTCATATGTTACTGGTTTACTAGAAACGGTGCGAAAGAGGAATTGGGGACCATTGACTCGCTCGTAAGTCATAACCCATTCACTTTGGAATAATCTACTTTGTATTGAAAACAAATTTGACAAATATGCACTGTATATACAAGTCTAGTGGGGAATATTTTCTTTGTTATCTTAAACAAAAAGAAAATTTGTTTCTTCTTCTTTATTTTGTTATCATTAATTATCCACCAAAATCGAATAAGAACAATTTCAAACGAGTTGATTTGGAAACACATAAATACCTTTTTTCCAAGAAAAAAAATTAGTGACGAATCTAAATATATAGATAGAGATGTGAGGATAATTTGTCTTTGGACTGATAAGTTTTATTGTGGGAAATGTGCAGACATTACTACTATTTTGTGAATATTTAAGAGAGATCTAATTGTCATGAATTGGGACTTTCTAAATATGAAACGTTTTTCGTAAGACATTACAATGTCAAATGAATAAACATAAAACTCGATTAACCAGAAAATATGATTCGATAAAAACTTATATAACCTCGATATTTTTCGAATCAACAATCATACTCTAATAATTTGTGTTATATGGTTGTGGTTGTGATGGGTGTATTTTATAACACACAAATTTCCACTCTAAAATTGTTAGTGGGATAAAGCCATTAAAATTTTAAGTATGAAAAATAACTATAGTTACCAGATAAAGAACAAAACAAGGGAAAATGTGCAATTGAAGTTGCATTTGCATTTTGCAATGCAAGTAAAGGAAACGTTTTGCCTTTTAGTGATCCCATGGGCGATATAAAAGCTCAGCTAAAGGGCGCATGCTTAAGCTAAAGTCCCTTGTTCTTTAAAGTTTAATTGTTTTCTGAAAAAATATAATACAATCGTTGTTGTTTCATGCATGCTTTGCTTGTTTAGTTTCCAAAATTTGGCTAACAAGGTGCTTTCTTTATTTTTTTTAATCAAAGGAAGTGTTTGTTATGTGGCGAAGTAAAGAACAAATATATTATCCCAATTTGTTTCTCCGTTCTAAAAGCATGATCTATCAAATTAAAAGAACATACTGTAATATAGACACATGAATCCTAATAAACAGATTATTCTTTTTTTTTTTCTGTGCAACCCATAATAAAGATATTTTATATGTCAAAATCGTATAACTTCAGAGAAACCTATTAAAATCAGCTTTAACAAAAAAATAACCTATTAAAATCAACACGGATATGTTTTGGATTGTCATTAAATTTAGTTAGCAACACGTACATTCAGTTCATAGTGCGTTAAAAAAGACAGAAATTCTGAGAGATATGTTTTTGGATTGACATTAAATTTATTTTGCAATATACATACCTTCAGCTCAAAGTACGTAAAAGACAGAAAGTCTGAGATTTAATTGTTCTTGTTAAAGTTTTTCAGTCTCCAATTATGCTCGAAACAACGGAGATTTTTTTTTCTTTTTTTTTTTTAAGTTTTAACAACGGAGAATTGGACCACCAAGGAAATGCACGAATGCTCATATTTCTTACACTAATGGATTTTAACGTGCAACCAATTTACTGACAGCAAATTTCTTTTTCCTCCCATTTGAACATATACAATATATATCCATATATCATTCCTATTTAATATATAGATTTATATATATATTATCAAGTACACTAAGATATATGGCAGATTAAAGGAAAAATAATAATTTGGCAGTGGATGAATGGACGTAGCGTGTAAGAATATACAAATACAATCTGTACTTTTTATATTTCCATAAACTAAGAGCCAAAATAGGTCGGCAAAAAAATATTCCTACTTTAAGAGCGAGAATAATTATTTTCAAAATATTGTATCTTTGATTATACGGCAACGATCCATCCATCACTCAGTTTACGTGTGAATTTTGGCAGTAATAACTTATATTGAAAAACTAAAACGATGCATATAATTCTTTTTCAAACAATTCGGACTCGAATTCTTTTTTGTGAGCCTTTTTGTTATATAAATATTAGTATAAAACTATAAGGGCCCAGATAAGATGGCTGATCTTGTTTCTTGTAAGCCCATTTTCAGAAACATCACCAGCTTCGAGTGAACGGCATTCAAATGAATACGAACTTAGTGCTTACATATCTAAGAGGCAATCTTTATTCTTCAATGTCATGTTAGAAGAACTCTTATTGAAAAAGACAACACATAACAAGACCATATCGTAAACGCTGTCATACAAGATTTTTAATATTCCACAAAGAGATCAAAGCCTTTGTCTTTCATTAACATCTTATTGAGACAATCAAGAAAAATGGCAAATTGTGAATCCCATCCACCCTTTATCTGCCACGGTTTCATCATCGAAACAATCTGCAACAAGATGAGTAATCTCCTTTAGTTTACAATCTTTTTACTCAAAAGATTAAGATCCACGAACAAAAGGAAAAGGTCTCATAGAAGATGAGATCAAATGACACAGTCTTTCATCATTTCTACAAAGCAAAAGAGACAAATGAATGACTTTAAAACAAACACAGACGCCGGAAAAAAGAGAGCTACGTACAGCAATAAACACATATACTTACATATTGGTATTGATCTGAAAGTGTTTATTTGGTTTATACTAGCGACACCTAAAGCCATGAAGGAGATAAATGCTTCAAAGAATCAATCTATCTCTTTATCAACAATAAATTCGCAATTGGCAATAACTGACAGTAAAAAGCTGTCAACTTCTGAGTTCTATTCAAAAAAGGAGAATCACTGAAAGAAGGTACTGAAAATTGGACTAAAAACGTGATCGATTTACACACAAAATACTAGTTCAGGATTCTTAAAGCCATAACCATTTGTATTGGTCTGAAAGTAGCTTTGCTTATACATTCTCTAAAAAATTATCCATCTCTCAGACCAAAAACAAATTAGCAATTACCAACATCAAAAGATGTTAAACATTTGTTCGTAAAGATAATCACTATAAGAAGGTATCAAAACATGTGATCGATTTAAGCACAATACTTCCATTAGAAAATAACCATTTTTCCTGTGTAGATCTCTATAACCAGAGAGTAACCTGAAACATTGAATTGTCTAAGGTATCTACCTAATCAAAATTTCGTTGTCTCATTCAAAATTCAGCAAAATTGAACGGAGCAACACTACGAATTTCAGAGAGAAGTCAATTAGGATAAAACCTAGAAAACGAAACTTTTCCGATGAAATTAGGAAATGAACCTTATTGCTCAGTGAGAAGAAGCGGGTTGTTTCTGGTGCGATGATTGAGAAGGAACCAGGAGTTTGCTATAGATCTGCTCACCGACGAGATAAACGCAGAAGGCGGCAACACCGATTCCGAGACCCGGAAGTGCGTGTCTCATTTGATTCGAGAGCATCGGGTGCTTCCTCCACTCATCCCTTCGCCGGAAAAACTCTCCGGTAGTACCCAACGGTTTCGCCATTTTCTCCGGTCTTCGTCGATCTTACGATCTGTTTGTCGATATCGGCGAGCATTTTGTGGCTTTAGTGAGCTGTTTTGTTTGTATTCTTGGCTTATGGGCCTTATTTATAGCCCATTAGCATCAATGAATAGATTAATGGGCCTATTGGCTTAGCTGGCCCTATATAAATTTTGCCGGTAAACTGAGTGAGAATCTCGTTATTTTCTCCCCGGCGAGATAAAAAGAGAACATGGCGATGCTCCAGGCGAATCTTGGCTTCGTTAAATCTCCGACATTTCCGTTTTCTTCTTCTTCTTTTTCGTGTCCAAAAATTGCAGTGAAAGCTACCTCAGCTTCTCTGGGCTTCAAGAACCGTTCCTCAGGCAATCTCTCATTCTCTTATTATTATTTTATTTTATTTCAAACCAATGAGTCTCTTCTTCGGAAGCAGATTTTGACTGTTTTGAATGTTGATACAGTTCAAAGACTGGATTTTTCGAAAAGGGTTAGTAGAATTTACAGAAGGGATGCTCTGTTATTATCAATCAAATGTTCTTCGTCGGCTGAATTTGATAATGTAAGTTCAAAGTTTAAAATCCACTCAATTTTAAAGTTTTAACCCTCGTATTAATTTGAATTTCTTTCCTTTTTGTTATTCAGAGCAATACCGTTGTGAAGGAGAAAAGCGTGTCAGTGATTCTCTTAGCTGGAGGTCAAGGGAAGAGAATGAAAGTAAGTTTCAGAGTTTAATATGTCTCAGTGTTTCAAACTCTGAAATTTAATCGTTTGTTATGTCGAGTTTCTTTTTGCTTGAATTGTTGTTTTCTATGAAATCTCACTTGCCACCGTTTTTTTTTTTGGGGTTTTGTTATCTGTCAATGTGAATAGATGAGCATGCCAAAGCAGTATATACCACTCCTGGGCCAGCCAATTGCTTTGTATAGGTATCAAAAATTTACTTAAATGTCAGTTATTTTGAAAATGCTGCTATGTTGCTTGAATGTATGTCGCTGAAATGAGCCGTCTGAGAATTATTGACTCTCTCAATTTGTTGATAGAGGAAGTATAATTTAGCTGTTTTCAATCCTCGGAATCCGCTTGTCTATTAGTATTGTAGCATCTAAAAGCATAAGAATGTTTTTTATTTTGTGTAAAGAGATTCACTTTTGCTTTGTATTTGTTGATTTCTATGCCTCATTCTTTGCAGCTTTTTCACGTTTTCGCGTATGCCTGAAGTGAAGGAAATTGTAGTTGTTTGCGATCCATTTTTCCGTGATTATTTTGGAGGTTTAGTCTCTGTCTCTCTCTCTCTTACTAGTTATGGTTCTGGCTGAGAGATCTCTGAAAGATTTCACTGAGCTTTATTTTTTGGTTGTCTTATAGAATATGAAGAAACAATTGATGTTGATCTTAAATTCGCTCTTCCTGGTAAAGAAAGGCAAGACTCTGTTCATAGTGGACTTCAGGTTTATACCCTTGTGTTCATGAGCCAGAAGAAACTATTCTAAAATGTATCGACTATTCTAGTTCATATTAAGCTTATAGTTTTATTTTTCACAGGAAATCGATGTGAACTCTGAGCTTGTTTGCATCCACGACTCTGCCAGACCGTTGGTGGACACTGAAGATGTCAAGAAGGTATACTTTATACTTACTGATTACCTTATGCGAAGTAGCAAAAGATTAGGGAAAAAGAAACAAAATTTCTCTAAGTCCACTAAAAATGTTTTGTCATGGTTTTGTTTCTTGAAGGTCCTTAAAGATGGTTTGGCGGTTGGAGCAGCCGTACTTGGTGTTCCAGCAAAAGCCACAATTAAAGAGGTACATATTCTTCAACTTATTTGGCAAAAATTTAACAGTTTAGTGGTCATCATCTCTTTTTTTGGGTACTAGACTTCTTCTGTTGCGATATGCAGGTCAATTCTGATTCGCTCGTGGTGAAAACTCTCGACAGAAAAACCCTTTGGGAAATGCAGACACCACAGGTTTCTATCATCTTTCATGCTTCATATGATATATAAATGTTTTGATTGATTTTCTTTTTTTTTTGTTTCAAGCCACTTTAATTTATGCTTTCTCTTTAGGTGATCAAACCCGAGCTGTTGAAGAGAGGTTTCGAGCTTGTGAAAAGGTTTGTGTTCCTTAATAAAGCTGATGCGGTCTTGATGGAAATCAAAGAAGACTGAGAATAACTTGTGTATATTTCTGAAACAGAGAAGGTCTAGAGGTAACAGATGATGTTTCAATTGTTGAGTACCTCAAGCATCCGGTTTACGTCACTCAAGGATCTTATACAAACATCAAGGTAAAAAACACTCATTTATCTTCTTTCTTTTTTTTTTCCTCCTAGCGGTGATAGAATGACAAAGATTGTATTTTTTATTATTGCTAAAACTGTCTTTTCTGTTTTAGGTTACAACACCGGATGATTTACTGCTTGCTGAGAGAATCTTGAGCATGGACTCATGAGGGTATAATTAGAAGTTTTTTTTTGTTTATACAGCTTTACGGAAAATGAAAATGTTTAGAAAGCTTCAGGATTTTTCAGATTGTGAATAATGTTTTGTATCTATATCATGTGTGTAGGATGAAGTACGGCTTGGTACTTCGATTTTTCGGCTCGGGATGGTAATCCATTTTTCGGACTCTTTAAGCAATTTGGAACCGATTTTTGTGTTGTTTTGTTTTTTACCTTAGAAAAATACTTCATCAAACAATAACCATTGTTATTGCAAAGAGCTTCATGATCTTGATCATTTTTTTGGTGTGATTGAAAATGTTTTATGTTTAGCCTAGTTTTGCTTACTTCTTATATTGTTGTGAACTTGTGACACAAAAAAGGAAGCAATATAATATCGATGTTATTATTTTTACTGGAATATAGCAATATACATACTAGTTGAATGTTGACAAAAAAATAAATTGGTTGAATATAGGAAAATAAGCCAAATGGCCACATATTGACAGAAAATATAGTATAGAGCACTTTAATGTGTATAATCAACTAAATAGCCAGATATGTGTTTTGTATAGTATGATTAGCCAATTTTGCAATGCTTTTTCTTTCTCTCTCTATGGTCTGTGTAGTGCGGAACCTTTTGTTGATGCTTTTTGGTTTATACACCTTTAAATATTAATTTATTTAATACACATGATTTTTTTATTTTAAATGCTACAAATACGAATTTTGAATCCGAACATTTAAATTTAAAATCATGTATAATATTTATTCAACCATTTAATATTTCTTTTTTTTTTGAAATTATAGTTTATTGTTTACATGATTACATCCACTGATATCGTAGCATCCTGGTTTGGTGGAGGAGGAATTCGCTCGGTTGGGAATTGTATCGGTTTATAGTCGTTTGAAAAGGCTCGGTCCTAGCGTGGGCAAGACTAGATGCAAGAAAAAGCACAGTGACCATCATTGTTATTGCAAAGAGCTTCGTGATGTTCATCATCTTTGATCTGTGTGTATGTGATTGAAAATGTTGAACCCTAGTTTTTATTTATATTGTTATGTTGTGACCAAAAAAAGAAAGCAATATGGTGTATGTTATCTTATTTTGTTTTACTGGAATTATAGGTAATGTGGTATGATTTTATTGGTGAAATATATTTTATATACAGAAGGTTGAAAAGTATCAAGATCGTTCAATTGTATACTTTTGCCAACAACATTCTCAAGCATTCCCGTACTTGCATAGGAAAAAATCTTAAAATGAAGATTTTTTTATAATCAATACAAGAAATGAATCGCCTATACAAAATTGGTTTGTCAGTTATTCTATGTACAAACAGTAGATGAATGTGTATTCTCTTTTGATGACACAACAAGACAATAAATTGGCCCCTAACATTATTGTTTTAAAAAGTAATTAATACCCTTATCTTTAGGTGGATGAGAAGAGACTCAACGTGACTACAGAACTTATGAAAGAAATATCATGTAATGTGTTTGTATAATTTTATCAATTTTTTCTTGGTTAAAAGCTACCATTGGCCTAAAATGAGGGAGATGTACATACAACAGATTTACACATGTGATGAAATGATTTAAATTAGATTTTCGATTTAATTTTAGTTCGAATAATTTGGTTAAGATTCGAGTTTGGTCGGGTCGATTTATAGTAGAGAATGCCGTTTCCGTTGTGTTCGTGAGCACAAAATGATATTGGAATATTATTGTACGTATCCATGTTACATTATGGTTTGGCTATAAGATTTAAATAGGTTAAATCCTTCAAATTTAATTTAAAATTTGTTTCCGCTTCATTGTCAAAGTAAAATCTGAATGATTTAATTTTAAATCACAGCACAAAACTATTTTAAGAGATTTATGGTAAAGCGCACAATAATACAAGGTTTTATATTGTGATGCATTATGTATTTATTTTTTTAGAGCGTTTACTATTAGAAAGAACCATATTAGTCGAGTTTAGGAGGAATACAATGGCCGAGACCCGGAGGACAAATAATTGGGATTGGGAACTGCTCCACTGATTTCTTTGCATCCTGGTTTGGTGGAGGAGGAATATGCTCGGTTGCAAAAACCGGTGGTTTATGGAACGGTTTAGATTCGGTTTGGAAGTTTAGATTTGGTGGTGGAGGTAAAGGCAATGTCCTTGCTTGGGCAAGACCAGATGCAAGAAGAAGTAGAGTAACCACCATTTTTATTGCTGAGAGCTTCATGATCTTCTTCATCTTTCTGTGTGTGATTGATATTAATGTTAAGCCTATGTTTGTTTATTTATATTGTTGTGTTGTGACTTGTGACTTGTGAGTTGTGAGTGACCAAAGAGAAAGGCACTATGATTTTTTTTAGTGGAATTATATGTTGAGAACAAATAAAAAAGCAAAATGGTTTTGTTTTCTTTGTTTTACTGGAATTATGTGTTGTGAATATAGAAATATGGTTACATTAATTACCGAGAAATTTCAACGGTATATTTACCATCGACAATCATTGAATCCCAACTTATGATGATTAATTCTATTGCATTCCAAATTCCATCACATTAGCAAAAGCTCGACATTAGGAAAAACAACAATTTATTTATTGAAGAAAGA